ATGGCTAAATATCGCATTTCTTTGTTTCTTTGGCTCATATTTTTTAAGTTTATGAAATAAAAATTTTAAATGAATTAAAGAAAGTTAATTGTTTTATTTTCGAAGCTATTTAAAAGGTTGGCGTGTTGTGTCAACGAAAGATCTGATGTTGGCGAAATTTGCACCTGTCTTCCTTCACTCTCGGAACTTGACTTTTATTTACGGAGAAACGCCGAGCAGAAATAGTGTTGTAAAATATTTAACAAACGCGATCATCTGTGGTTTGAAATTATGAATTTCTCTTCCTATCATCTTTCAGACAAAAAAGTAGAATAATTTTAGAATAATATTAAAATTAATTCTTGTTTTCAGAATCTTTTACAAAGTTTTGTATTTTTAGCCATAAAATGTTTTGTTGACTGGAACAGTATAGTCAGTGAATTGTAAGAAAGAGATCAAACGGCAATAAACGAATTTCATAGCTTCTAAATTAAAACAGGTGCTCATGTTAGTGAGAGAGTATTGCAAAAGAATGCTTTAAAATGAAAGCGAATGAGTAACTCATGGGTTCAGAGAAGGTAAATTTGAGAATAGAGGGGAAAGACTGAAATGTATTACAATTATAAATCACAAATTATTAATATTTACCTAGATTTAATTCATACAATTACGTTGATTTTTGATATAAAGTTTAACTCAGTGTTTTCAAACTCATATTGCCCGTAGGTCGTATGCACCAACTGAGAAAAAATTTTTTGAAAGATAAAAGACATTTTAATAAATTAAAAATTTTTCTTATTCAGTATTTCCCCAAATATGCCTAAACAATAATAATAACATCGCAAACGAAAAAAATCAGACTTACATTTATTTTTTATCTGAAATTCAAAGTTTGGTACCCGCAAAACATTTTTGTTGATTACACAAATACATCGACAGCTAAATATTAAATTTTCTGACGGATGTTTATTTAAAATAATTCTAACATATTTAATTAATCATTAAATAACTGACTTTAATTTAAACTGAAATAAATTATGAAAATATTCCACGTGGGATAAAACTTGAAAATAAATAATGGCAATTTAGTCTCTTTCTCTTATTTATTAAATTTTTCTTCGAAACATAAATAGAAATACATATGTTTGTGCGTAAATAATTATAAATTTCTTTTGTTTCTGACTACATTTTAACACTTGGTGTTTTGATTTTGACAGTCTGTAGCCTTGAAGAGAAATTACTAGGAAGTGCCATCATCTTGAAATCTTTTTAACACTGTATTTGCAACAAATTCACAATTGAAATGTCCTCGCAGGTGGCATAAATTTGCTTCGGAGGCTGCAAGCGGCTTACGCGACAGAAGTTAAAGGTCTTCGATTTAACTGATCATCCATTACAAAATATTACAAGTATGAAATATTTATCAAAGCACTATTTCTGTGTAAAACGTTTTATTGGATTTGATAAATGCTAGTTAGAAATAAATTTAGAATAAGATGAATCTAACTGTTACGTAAAATTATTTAACAACAATTATATTCGAATTCCGACTTAATAATATATATATATATATATATCTTTATATTTATATAATTAATTTACTAAATAATATTGATTAATTGATTATATCATCTCCTAAGTTTAACTTAAGTTTAACCTAAGTTTAATTAAGTAGAATGATCTTAAAAGAGTGAATCCATACTAGTAAGTTATATTTTGAAAGATGTTTTGAAGTAACTTGAAAGTAAAATGTTAGTAATGTTTTAACGGGGACTGGAATTAAATCATCATGAAGAACAAAATTTCACTTGTAAAAGGAATAAATTAAAGGCAAAAAAATTAAATGCATGTAATCATTGTCATTGATCGGAAATTAGTTGACTTTTCAAGGGGAACAAACCAACTCCCGTTCAATGAACAATAATTAATAAATAAATACGAAGGTGTTTCGTCTTTACTCGAGCAATAAAGCTAAGGCAAACCGGCAATTCAAGTCAGGCCAAATATTTCCGTGAATAGAAGGGATTATGAACAAATGTTGATATTCAAAGAACTTATTCCTATGAAGCATTTTAGCTAATTCAGTTTTGAGTGAAAAGCAATTTATGCAGGGAATTTCGAAAAAACTCGAGTAACCGTCCCCCGACACCCTCGAGTTTATTCATTTGAGTTCAATATTATTTGTAAAAATTAAACATTGGAAATTGTCATTATGAAATAGAATTCAAAGTATAAAGTTGAAATAAACATTAGAAGTTTACAAAATATAAAATAAATAATGCTAACTTTGTAAAAACAAATCAAGAATAATATAAAAATAAAAAATATAATTAGAAAAGTGAATGTACATGAAGATATAAAGGCCAGAAAAAGTATTAATTAACTTACGTTCTTTCTAGTAGGGAGTCGGCAAAGTGTTTTCTTCGCGTCTGACTCAAAAGTGTAGTGTTTCCGAAAAATTCTTAGCGGCAGCGAGGGCTTTGAATAATATCAGTCGGTAAGACTTGGGTGAAGTAATTTATGGTACTGGGTGGGACTCAGAATTCTTGAGGGAGGTATTCTGTGGAGTTCTTATTTGAGTGAAACCGTCTGTTAAAAATTTTTTTTTGAAAATACTAATGAATGGAAATTAATTATTTTCTGGCTTATTGTCGTGTCGAAACGATTAGGAATTGAAGAAAGGAAAAAAAGAATTTCCACTGTCAAAGAGCAATTTGAAAGACTAAAGATCATGAAATAGGCCAATTTTTTTAGTAACAGCATAAATCTGAAGACAATTAGCTTTTTACAATATACAACTGAGTAATTACACTATATACAAATCCTTCAACTGATAGTCATCCAACTTATACCGCCTTCTCAGGTTTAGGAACAAATTATCATATCCCTATCAGTTAAATGATTTAGAGCGAGTATTTAACGCCTCTTTTAAGGCAATGGTTAATAAATTGAATGGGTATTAGATTATTTTTGAGAATTTTAATAAGGAGCAAAATTTCGCGTTGTAAATCTATTTTATCTGTGCAGATAATTTTAATTCGTTGTATCTGATTTATTATTGTATTGTTAATTACTTTTTTTGGATATGTTGGAATTCCAATTTATTAATTTGTTAGTATTTAAATATATATATATATATATATATACAAAAAGAATCAGAGTAATAAGTCAGAAATTAAAATCAAATTTTTTTTACCAGTCCTGCGCTTATAACTGCAGAATTGAAGTAAATTAAACTTCTATTCTAAATTAAGCATCTAAGGTTAAAATAAAATTGAAATCATTCTGGATACATTTGATATGAAAATTTAATAGAATCTTTTTTCGGTTTTTGATCTCAAATGTACCAGAAGGATTGGATTGGATTGGATTATTTAATTATGGCAAAGCAGACGATGGCTATCTGCCTAAAGGGAGGGATGCCTTCGTGGAGGACTTTCTAAGGGAAACTGACTCGTATACACGTTACACATGGGGAAAACCACGCCCATGCAGCCAGCCCGTAAATGTACCAGAAGATCGAAACATATATTCGAAAATATTAATCGGCTTTTATGAAACTTTAGTTCATTTTCCCCTGATGAGTTTTGAATTGAAGTTTCAGTGAAAGGGAGGGATTTAATTTTTATATTTTGTATATTTTTCCTTTTCACATTTTTATTTTTGAAGTTTATTCTACTGGTGTATTCTTATTTTAATTTTGATATGGCTAGATACAGTGTTTAACCTCTTGACCACCGTTGTAATTACTAATATTGTTGAGGAATTGCCTTATTTTGATTCCAATTTTATTTTAAACTTAGGTGCTTTAAGTTTATATATACATTGGTTTAAAACATGATAAAAATTTTTACTTATCAATTAGCATATCCAGATTTAAAGTAAATGCTTGAAACAAAAATCTACTATGTGTGTATACACAATTCTAAATCTCACAAAATGAATACCGCGGGATATTTTAATGTGGTTGATGGAATAAGTGTGTAACAACATCCAATCAAAATCTTAAATAATATCAGGAAAATATTAAAGTGTTCGTATTTCTAATTAATCAATTAAATACTATACCTTTCTATTATTTAAGTAAAAAATTTGTACGATATTCAGTAAAATCTTAAATAAAGGAAGAAATCGCAGTCATCATTGTTATACAATTGCTTACAAATTCTTCAAGAATGTTGATGTGAGCTTAAATAAAAAATTTTCTGTTGTAAACAATTCTAAACATTGATTTGAAATTCGAGTAACGCATATCACATAGAATGATTTGAAATTTCTTTGGTAATGTCTCAATAACAAAATTCATCAAACTTTCTTCAATGAGATCTTTCTCTTTCTTAATATTAGATTCCATTTCTTGGATAAATTTTATACAATTAGCCATTAAATTTGTCTCAATTTCCAAAGAATTTTCTCTGCTGTAGTTTTCATCTGTACTTCTTCATTTAAGAAGCTTATATATGTAAAGGTTTAGAAGTTATTATATTTATCACTATATAATGCTTCAGAAGTTTTCAATTTAAGTAAGCTCTAAATTGCGCTAGTATGATTGTAAATAAGTTCTGAAGAGCTTCCCGACAGTTCATATGAAATCCAAAGAATTATTTCACTAGAATTTTGTAAAACTATTTCAGATTTAGTATTTTATAAAATGATAAAGAAATAAAGAAATAAATATGCAAATAAAATGACTACACCCCTTTGCTAGCGGTCTCACTGAATCGGTTTGCTGACGAATTTTAATGATCTCAATGTTATCGCGTACTTGAGAATTCTAGATAAAGCTATCTTGAGTAATTATTGTAAATAGGAACTGTATTCTTAAATCTGAAATTCGTTACTAAATTTTGCACTTATCTTTCTATCAAAAGTGGTGTACTGCCACAAATAATTTCATAAATACAGTAATAATAGTTCGAGAATCTTTAACAAGCAGTTTTACTATACGTGCTAAGTTTATAACACTAAAATTTATGGATATACTACATGAAGTGTATGATGATGTATGAATTAAAACTTACCTTTTGGTTTAAAAGCCACTGGTTCTTTTCGTAGAGACAGGCCATTGATCAAGTGTACGGCAACTAACAAAAAATTAAGTTCGACAAAGGGTTTCATGTTACCAAGCTTCACCGACTGTGCTCAGAGCAGTGAAATAGTGAAAATAAAAAAAGCAAATTTGAGGCGGGAAATTATCGCTTTAGATGGGTGACATAAAAAGAGAACTGTACACATACCCACCTTTTGTTATCATCTGCGGCTGATAAGTAGAAGTAGGCTAGTTTCAGACAAGCACAATGCAATATATCAAATTTCTTATTATCGTTGATATTATCGCTGGTGTACAGAAATATAAGTTGATCATAAAGAATTTTAATTTTCGTACATTAGATAAATTAAGTTGCTAAACATAAATCAATTAAACGTTGAACACAGTACGATTAAATATACAAATGCTTAGAAACGATTGCTTAGAAAAAAGTCTTTTGCATGTAAATTCGTAATGCAAAACCAATTGGGTTCGATAAATCTAACACACACACAAAATTTAACACAATAACATATAAATAATAAGAAAACTTGAATTTAATTTTACCGTACTTCTAAGAAGGAAAGTTGATGGCGTAAGTAAAAAACGATGAAGAAGCCAAAAGTGTAAAATGTTATTGTTTGCGAAGGAAAATCCTATTCCGTAAAAATATCAGGTCGCTGCTGTCTTTCTATTTTATGTTTTGTTTTTCTTTTCTCTTTCTCTTAACATCGCTCGCCCTTACTTAAAAATCGCTGAGTCTTTGAATTATTTCTGTCTATGCTTTAACACATTCCTAAAGCAAGACATGGCATTCGCATTGCAAATATTTATATACTGCGACTTACTACTGTTTTATCAGGGTCATTATGTATAATGAACTTTTGCACTTTACCCCGTCTTGAAGAAATTTCGCGTATCATATAATTAAGAACATCTTCCCTTTCGTCTTCTTTTTCTGCAGACATTTTATTCAATGCATTAACTGCGTTTTGGAGTATAATTTGTTATCGGCTTCACTTATTCGAATCTCAAGATATCGTTGGTCATCTAAGACATTTTTAGTTTTGAAAATTTGTTTGTCAACCAAGGCGTTCATGAAACAAGTTTCCACTGCAAGTAATTTTCAACTAGGCAAATTATTCGGGAAAAATACGAGTAATATACTACGCGTCTATGTATCTTGCATAGTAAAGCCCTCATCCAGAAATGGCCATGTCGATAAAACGACAGAATACTAAAAGTTTAATTAACTGGCTGAGTGTGTAAGGAAATAAACAAGTTTCTTTACCTTTTTAGTTTTTGGATGAAAGTTTAGTCTCAGGTCCTTTTCTCTAGGCTCATTAATGGCCGAGTGGTTAAAAACCGTTAAATACTAGTAATTCGACTTGCTTTGGGCTAGAAACCAGGCAAACGTGCTGGCTGCATGGTTGGGTTTCGTGGCTTTCCTCATGAGCAACGTTAATATGAGCTAGTTCTCCTCAGAAAATCCTCCATGAAGGTATCCTTCCTCATAGGGCCGATACCTCTCATTCCATATTCAGATAACCTAATTTAGAAGGTCGATTTTCCACAATTCGGCCGTGTAATTTCTCGTTTCATTCTTAACATATTTTTATTGTTTTTTTTTTTTTTTTTACTGTTTTGTTTTGTTTTGTTTTTCCTCACGTCACATAGGAGTACATGTCACTGAGCTAATTCTTGCATAACATTTTCAAATTGTTCATCACTTCGATTTCGCCACTGGGCGAATTTTAGTGCTTTCCTTTCTACTGTCGCCACAGGCTTCAGATACATATGTTGTCAAAACACAAGTAAATCTTAAAATCTATATGGACGAAGCTTTATGTTTTCAGTACTGTTTAAAATTTATTACAAAAATTTATTACAAAAAGTTAATAAATATTCAAGCGTACAGTGCTAACAAATTTATGAAGCTAACCAAATTTTTTTCTTTCACGTTCTACGCTCAATGTATTCGAGAAATATAATGACATTTATAAATTTAGATCATAGCTGAAACCTTTTAACTGCAAAGCGCTGGGCCATGATGAAGTAAGCTAATTCTAATTTCAAATTTGACTCACGTTTCATAAATGAAATTTTTGTGGTTTGCTTTTCCTCATGTTTAACGTGTCCTCTAGCGGCCGAACGAATCAAATCGCTAAATACTGAAAATTTGATCCGGATTCAGATCCTTGCGAGAAAGTACGGGGCATGGAAAATGTGATTTCTTGCATGAGTAATGTGAACATGAGTCATTTTCCCTCAGACAATTCTCCATGAAGGCATTACTTCCTTAGGCAGGTGACAGATGATGGAAAGCGGAGACTCCTGGTGGCTCTCGTCTCATATGTTAGCAGGATTTGTGTCCTCCCTCCTATCAGGAGTTTATTATAACAAATAACAATAGATAGAATTATATCTAAATATTTTAAGTTATGCTTAAAGTGCGAGTGCTGTAATTATTACAACCTGAGGTAAAATTTTAATTTCTATGCTTAATAGTTAAAACGTCTTTACTAGTTCTTAGAATCTGATTTAAAGTTCCTTGACTACTTCTTTAGCATTTGTTCTATTGTAACTATCCTTCTGAATTTTATTGGCCTCTTCATTCTATTTGACGAATGTCTTGTACCATAGCTGAAATAGTGTTAATTGTTTTCAGATGTTCTTAATTGATGCACGGTTTTTGATAATGAATTTCTCAAAAGAGTTCATACTGCAGGAGATTGAGATAAATGAGTGGCAGCTGTAAGTGGATAGTAAAAGGCATAATAGTGAGGTCAGACTTCTAATTCACAGACACATGTACTTCTGTTTGACATGCAAAGGCGATGAAAATAGGTTGGAAAGGGGCTATGTCTCTTAATAAAATCAGCTAGCTGTCAGATGGTTGAATAGTTACAGTTAGCTGTAAAATCTGTTAGCTATAGATGTTGAGATGGTTATTTGTCTATTTGTGCCGACTTTAGGAATAAAGATGTATGTGCGTCTGCTAGTTTCTACTAGATGCTATACTAGTTTCCATTGTTGTAGAATCAATTTCATATGGAGTCCTTTTCACGCAGAATTCTTTTTAGGGGAGAGGTTTGGTTTGGTTGTTTTAGTTTATTATGATAAAACACACTAGGGCTATCTGCCTAAGGGTAGGAAAAGCTTCGTAGAGGGCTTTCTAAGGGTAACTGAATCGTATACACGTTACACATGGGGAAAACTACTAAACCACCCATGCAGCCATCCTGTTGTCCTGAGGAATGGCTCTCCATTCCTTGTCAACTACTTGCCACGTTTTCTGAACGTGGTAATGGCAAAGTCTGCAAATGGCGTCCAATCACGTCTGAAATGTGTTCTATTGGTGAGAATCAGGAGAAAATGGTGGCAGGGAACATCTGTACTCCTTGCAGAATACGTTGGTTGATGCGAGCAGTGTGTGGTTGGAAGTTATCCTGATGAAGGGCATTAGGCATTTCCTGAAGGCAGGGTGTGTCACCGGCCGCAGCCTATCACACGCTTATCGTTGGGCCGTCATAGTGCCCTGAATACGAACTAGAGGTGACATGGAATCGTACGTAATTGAGCTCCAAACCGTGATGCCGCGTTGTCGCGTGGTGCTGGGTCCACAGTTGCTACCGGAGACCTGTCTCTACACCGACGCCACACTCGTACTCGGCGAATATCACTGGAGAAATAGAAGTGTGATTCATCTGAGAACACGACTGTGTGCCATTCCGGATTCCACATTGCTCGAGCACGGCACCATTGCAGACGTTGGCGTCTATGATGTGGGGTCAATGGCAGTCTTAACGGACGGCACGAGTTCAGGCCACTAGCCACCAATCGACGACAAATGGTTCTGGTCGATATGAGAATATCCAGGGTGTCTTGAACATGCTATAGAATGGAGGTAGAAGTGGCTTGCGGATGCGCCATCGATTGTCGGTGGATGCGTCGACCAACGCGTGCTGACGTCACTCTGGCTGCATCAGCACCCATCGAACATGCCACATTTCCTTGTTCAAACCGTCGTCACCACAGCCGGTGCATTGTGGACGCGTCCATGTGTGTGTCAGCGAAGATTTTCCGTATGGACAAACCTGCCCTTCTGAGTCCAATCACCATGGCCCTCGTAAAATCATCTGTCTGGCTGGAACTGCCTTCGTTGACGACGGCCTGGCATTCCCTGCTATTACATGCGTCCTCTGAGACAAGAACAAATTTTCTGTGATGATTTCCTTAGCAGAGATAACGTCACGAAAACTGAACATTTTGAAGTTTCCTTCTCTGATACCTTCTTGAACGTGCGCTGGAGAGCTGAGCAGTTCACACAATTCGCGTAACTGGGTGACGTGCGTCTACCCTGAAATTTGCCTAATTTTCGGGCCACTTCTTCTTTGTGTTGCATTTGCAATGTCGCCTAATATATACAAATCCTGCCATAATTAGTTACTGCATGTGCGTTACGCAGTAACAAATATATTACATAGCTTGATCACGTGATGTAACAGATTATGGAGAAATTATGGGCATGCAAATTTATTTAACATTTCACGCTATTATAGATCAAAAGTAGCAATACATGAAATTTATTATAACAGAAATCATTCAAATGAATAAATGAATGAAATAAAAGTCATATGCTTAAATTTCTTTAAAATATTTCGGTTGATATCATGTGTACACACATTTATTGCAAGTTATTCAATAGTTTGATTGTATGTGATATGTCTAATGGCTGTATGATACAGAAAAGAGATGTACGAAACGTGGGAGACACTTGAAATGCATTCCAGTTTTCACAAAAATATGGAATTAAATAGACTTACATTAATTCTGAATTTTTGTCATGAAACAATAAAGTGTATGGTACATTATTATATCGAGGATTTCACAAGCTATATACCATGCTGATACATTATTCACAGCATATCAGCAACACCATGATCATTTACATTAGATGTAAGGTAGTACAGTGAGTAAAGTATTGGAGCGCAATGAGATTTCAGATGTTTTAGGAAAGGATAATTAAACATTTTATTTAAACGAACTACTTTTATTACATGTCATAACTTAAGACTAAACAAATCGAAAAGTCTTAAATTTAATTAAAAATAATAGTAAACAATTATTACATTATACATTTCTTCTGTCAAACGAGAAAGTAATGGTCAAAAAGATTCAGGA